GACTGTTTCCATCCTCCACACTGGGAAACACACGACCACAAACCCAGCCGCCTCAAACAGTACCCATTCATCCACTCCCAGCTTTGCGGGCCAGGGGTCTGGCACCGCATGTCTGGGGGCTCTGCTGGGGTCTCACTAGACTGAAATCGAGGTGTTGGCTGGACTGAGTTCTCTCTGGAGCTCGGGACTGTCTTCCAAGCTCCCTCAGGCTATGGCAGGGTTCAGTGCCCCGTGGTGGTGGGACGAAGGTTCCCACGCCCTGGCTGGCTGTGGCTGGAATCCGCTGACTGCATTGCTTGCCACATGGCCTTCGCCACCTGTGAAACCAGCAGTGATGAATTCTGCCTCACAGGTGCTTCAGGAAGAGGCTCATTCCTTTTAAGGGGTCACCTGATTAGGCCAGGCCCACCGAAGAGCGTCTCCCTATTTTCAAGTCAGCCGATTTGGAATCTTATTTTTTATTATTATTATTATTATTATTATTATTATTATTATTATAATTTAGAGATGGCAGAGTCTCACTTTGTTGCCTAGGCTGATCTCAAACTCTAGGCTCAAGCGATCCTATTGTCTTGGCCTCCCAAAGCACTGGGATTCCAGGCCTGAGCTTGGAACCTTTTTTTTTTTTTTTTTCCCCCGAGGTGAAGTCTCATTCTGTCGCCCAGGCTGGAGTGCGGTGGTGCGATCTTGGCTCACTGCAACCTCCGCCTCCCAGGTTCAAGCGATTCTCTTGCCTCAGCCTCCTGAGTAGCTGGGACTACAGGCGCTGCCACCAGGCCCAGCTAATTTTTGTATTTTTAGTAGAGATGGGGTTTCACCATGTTGGCCAGGCTGGTCTCAAACTCCTGACCTCAAGCGACCTCCCCGCCTTGGCCTCCCAAAGCGCTGGGATTCCAGGCCTGAGCCACCGCGCCCCACCTGAACTTGGAACGTTAATTCTACCTGGGGTAACTCTGCACCTAGAGCAGCATCTGACTGAAGGGCTGGGAGTGGGTATGTGAGTACCTGGGGAACAGGGGTCTTGAGGACCCTCTTAGAATGGTGCCCACAGCAGGGACTGATAGAGAGAGAGCTGGTTCTGGGAGGAGTTGGGAAGGTCATGGGGGTGTATGTAAAGGGAGGCCTGAAACCAAGGGCGGGAGGTCATCCCAGGCAAAGAGAGTTGTCCGTGAGAGGCCGAAGAGGAGAGCGCGTGGCCTGTGCTGGGAACCGACAGAGTGGTGGAGATTAAAGGAGTGAATGATGTGTGTGGAGTGGCTGGCACTGGTGAGCGGGTGAGATAATAAATAGCAGTGGGGTTATTATCCCACTGTCGGAAGGCTGGAGGCCACCCAACTGCCTCGCTCCCGCGCTCCGGGTCTCTGTCTGCCCAGGGCTCGCTCTCCCTCTCTCTGTCTCTCTCTCCCTCTCTATCTCCTCTGTCTGTCTCTCTTCCCATCCCTCTGTCTCTCCCCGCCTTTCTCTCCCTCCTCCCACTGTCTCTCTGGGTGTTTCTGCCTCTCTCTCTCTCCCTCCTCCCACTGTCTCTCCCTTACTGCCCCCTCTGTCTCCCCTCTCTGCCCCCTCTATCTCCCCTCTCTCCCCCTCAGTCTCTCTCCTCTGCCCCCTCTATCTCCCCTCACTGCCCCCTCTATCTCCCCTCACTGCCCCCTCTTCTCCCCTCACTGCCCCCCCCCTCCTGTCTGCCCCCTCTCTCCCCTCACTGCCCCTCTATCTCCCCCTCCTGCCCCCTCTTTCTCCCCTCACTGCCCCCTCTATCTCCCCTCACTGCCCCCTCTTTCTCCCCTCACTGCCCCCTCTATCTCCCCTCACTGCCCCTCTTCTCCCCCTCACTGCCCCCTCTTTCTCCCCCTCACTGCCCCCTCTATCTCCCCTCACTGCCCCCTCTTCTCCCCCCTCACTGCCCCTCTTCTCCCCCTCCCTGCCCCCTCTCTCTCCCCTCCCTGCCCCCTCTATCTCCCCTCACTGCCCCCTCTATCTCCCCTCACTGCCCCCTCTATCTCCCCTCACTGCCCCCTCTTTCTCCCCCTCACTGCCCCCTCTATCTCCCCTCACTGCCCCCTCTTTCTCCCCTCACTGCCCCCTCTATCTCCCCTCACTGCCCCCTCTTCTCCCCTCCTGCCCCCTCTGTCTCTCCTCCCCCTCTTCTCCCCTCCCCCCCCTCAGTCTCTCCTCTCTGCCCCCTCTATCTCCCCTCACTGCCCCCTCTCCCCTCCTCCCCCTCTATCTCCCCTCACTGCCCCCTCTATCTCCCCTCACTGCCCCCTCTATCTCCCTCACTGCCCCCTCTTCTCCCCCTCCTGCCCCCTCTCCCCTCACTGCCCCCTCTATCTCCCCTCACTGCCCCCTCTGTCTCCCCCTCTCTGCCCCCTCTTCCTCTCTCTTCCCCCTCTATCTCTCTCTGCCCCCTCTATCTCTCTCTTCCCCCTCTATCTCTCTCTGCCCCCTCTATCTCTCTCTTCCCCCTCTGTCTCTCTCTCCCTCCTACGGTGTGTGACTTTGGGTGGGTCCCTCTCCTCTCCCTGGTTCCTCATCTGCTTCCATGACTGCCCCCTCCCTCCCTGAGCCCATAGAGCTGATGCCTGGGGAGGGCCCAGCCTGGACGAAGGCCCAGCGGCGGGAGGAGCCTGGGTTGGGAGCCGGGAGCAGTGGGGTGAACGGCAGCAAATATTTATGGAGCCAGGTCTGTGCCAGGCTCAGGGCTGGGCGTGGTGAGATAAAGGGGCTGGGGGAGGCGCCCAGTCTTGGCCTCCAACCCGCTTGCCCCAGGGAGGCCGGGAGCCTGGCAGGGGGAGGCGTCCGGGAAGGAGGGCTGGACGCTGGGGTCACACAGGCTGGGGTCACACAGGCAGGGGTCACACAGGCTGGGGTCACACAGGCAGGGGTCACACAGGCTGGGGTCACACAGGCAGGGGTCACACAGGCAGGGGTCCCCGTGGAGAGTGGTTCACACTTGGCAGGTCAGCTCCAGCCTCGTTGGTATGAAGCTTCCTCCCACCCAGAAGCCCCAAGTGCCCTCGCTGCGGTGGCACCTCCAGGCTCCCCTTGGGCACCAATCTGTGTTTTGTTGATAGCACCTGACGTGGAAAGAGGTGGGCGTCAAGGAAGCAAGTCATATGGAATTGGACCGGAATACACATTATCGAATAAGTATCTGTGAGTCCACACTGATACAAACAAATATGCGGATGAGGCCGGGCATATTGGCTCACGCCTGTAATCCCAGCACTTTGAGAGACTGAGCCGGGAGGCTCACCTGAGGTCAGAAGTTCCAGATCATCCTGACCAACGTAGTGAGACCCCCGTCTCTACTAAAAGTACAAAAATTAGCTGGGCGTGGTGGCGGGCACCTGTAATCCCAGCTACTCGGGAAGCTGAAGCAAGAGAATCACTTGAGCCCAGGAGGCAGAGGTTGCAGTAAGCCGAGATCGCGCCACTGCACTCCAGCCTGGGAGACAGAGCAAGACTCTGCAGAAAAGAAAGAACAAACGAAAGAAAAAGAAAGGAAGGAAGGAAGGAAAAGAAAGAAAGAAACAGATGAGTGAGTTAGCAGGGAAAGGTGAAATAACACATCTCTCTTATAGAAGAATTTTTTTTTTTTTTTTTTGAGACAGAGTCTTGCTCTATCCCCCAAGCTGGAGTGCAGTGGTACAATCTCTGCTCACTGCAACCTCTGCCTCCTGGGTTCAAGCGATTCTCCTGCCTCAGCCTCCCGAGTAGCTGGGACTACAGGCGCCCACCCCTACGTCCGGATAATTTTTTATGTTTTTAGTAGAGACGGGGTTTCACCATATTGGCCAGGCTGGCCTTGAACTCCTGACCTTGTGATCCGCCCGCCTCGGCCTCCCAAAGTGCTGGGATTACAGGCATGAGCCACCGCACCCAGCCGTATTCTTAAGAACTATCAAATCTAAATCTACTCCCCCATCCTGAAGAAGGGAGCTAATCCCCCCCCCACAGCCCAAATTCCCCCTGGGCTGCACTTATTGGCTTGTTTACAAAGACTAGAGTTTGGAAAGGGGAAGGAAGTGGGGTCACGTACCGTGGGGAGAGCTGGCCAGGTGACCAGGGTTACTAGCAGCATGGGTGAGAAGACGAGAACACGTACCTCCTGATAGGAGGCGAACAGAAGGGTTTTTTGTTTTTCTTTTTCATATTAAAAAACTTTTTTTGGCTGGGCACAGTGGCTCATGCCTGTAATCCGAGCAGTTTGGGAGGCCAAGGCGGGTAGATCGCCTGAAGTCAAGAGTTCAAAACCAGCCTGGTTAACATGGTGAAACCCCGTCTGTACTAAAAATATAAAAGCTGCACGTGGTGGCGGGCACCTGTGATCCCAGCTACTTATGAGGCTGATGCAGGGGAATCACTTGAACCCGGGAGGCGGAGGTTGCAGTGAGCTGAGATCAGCACTGCAGCCTGGGCAACAAGAGTGAAACTCCATCTCAATTAAAACAATGTTATTTTGAAGAGATAGGGTCTCACTATGTTGCCCAGAATGGTTCTCTAACTCCCGGGTTCAAGCGATCCTTCCCCCTCAGCCTACGAAATAGCTGGAATTACAGGTGTATGCCCCCAGGCCTGGCTAATTTTTAATTCTTAAATTTTTTTTGGTAGACGTGGGGTCTTGCTATGTTGCCCAGGTGGTCTCAAACTCCTGGCCTCAAGCAATCCACCCAACTCAGCCTCCCAAAGTGCTGGGATTACAGGTGTGAGCTACCACGCCTGGCCCAGAGGGACATTTTGTGTGTGTAGCTGTCATCCCAGCTACACGGGAAGTTGAGGCAGGAGAATCGCTTGAGCCCGGGGGTTGGAGGTTACAGTGAGCCGGGATCACGCCACTGCACTCCAGCCTGGGCAACAAAGCGAGACTCCGTCTCAAAAAAAAAAAGAGGTTTTATTTTGCGTTTTTGTTACTTATTTATTCATTTATTTATTAGTTCATCAGCTGTTAGTGTATTTTATGTGTGACCTGAGACAATTCTTCTTCCAATGTGACCCAGGGAAGCCACAAGTTTGGACACCCCTGCCCTACAGGCTTCAGAGGTGGTGTGGCCCTACCAACATCTGGATCTCAGACGTGCAGCCCCAGATCCCTGGGACAGCACACTTCTGTGGTCTGCTTCGCCAGGACTGCTCAAAATGTCAAAGTCCTCAAAACGAGGCAAGTCTGAGAAACAGTGGCAGACAGTAAGAGATTAAGGAGGCATGACGGTGAGACGCCATGTGGCATCCTGGTGGGATCCTGAACGGAACAAGGACATGCGCGACATCTGAGTAAAATGACATTTGTGCTGTACTAGTGTTTGTTTCTTGGTTCTGACAGATGTGCCACGGTAATGGGAGACGAGAGCGTTTGGGGAAGTTGGGTGAGGGGTCTATAGCAACTCTACTGTCATTCACTGCAGCTCTACTATCATGTCTTAAATGTTTCTAAACAAAAAAGTTTATGTAAAAAAGCAAACCAGGTGGGCTTGTGGGTACTTTTGCCACACTCCCCACTAGACTATTTACACAGAAGCCAGGGAGAATCTGTTACATCAGAGGAGGGGAGTTTGTGCTATTCAGGTGTATGTCTTTGTCAAAATTTATCAAATGGTAACATGGGAAATGTGGCATTTCCCTGCATTTTAATTTTACTCATGGCGAGAAGCTTAAATATTTGATATTTTGTTATGTTATGCATGCTAATAAAACATCAAGCAAAAAAGAAAAAAAGTTTTTAAAAAGCCAACGAAAAAAATGTTAGGCATGTTGAAGTGTTTAGGAGTGAAGTGAGCTGATATTTGCAAGTTACTTGGATAATTGCAAGTTGCATAGAGAAAGATGAATATACGAGAACTCTCTGTGCTTTCTGTTCAATTTTGCTATGAACCTAAAACTTCTCTAAAAAAATAAAGTGTATTAATTTTATAAAGATGGATGATGGATGAATCAACGATGGATGAATGGATGGATGATGGATGAATGGATGGGTGAATGGTTGGATGGGTGGATGGGTGAGTGGATGGATGGATGATGGATGGATGATGGATGGATGAATGGATGGATGGATGGACAGATGGACAGATGGATAAATGAATGAATGGATGGATGGGTGAATGGATAGATGGATAGGTGAATGGATGATGGATGAATGAATACATAATGGATGATGGATGAATGGGTGGATGGATGGATGGATGGATGAATGGATGAATAAGTGGGTGGATAAATGGATGGATGCATAGATGGGTGGATGATGGATGGATAGGCAAATGGATGATGGATGAATGGGTGGATGGGTGAATAAATGAATGGATGGATGGATGGGTGGGTGAATGGATGAATAAGTGGATGGATTATGGATGGATGTATAGATGGATGGCTGATGGATAAATGGGTGAATGGATGAATGGATGATGGATGGATGGGTGAATGGATGGATGGATGGATGTGTGGATGGATGGGTTCATGGATGGATGGGATGGATGAATGTAGAGAATGGGTACATAGGCATTCACTGCACAATTATTTTTATTTCCTTATGTTTTTATATTTTTATAATAACATGCTAAAAGGGAGGAATGTCAAATCCTGTCAGCCTCTGCATGAATTCCTTCAAGACTCCCATCTGATTTCGATCAGAAATTGGGTCCTCATGACTATCTACCCAATCTTGTACCCCATCACCTCTTCGATCTCCTCTCCCATTGCTCCCTCTTTTGCTCACTCACTGCTCTCCAGCCATGCTGGCCCCTCTGCTCCCTGAACACTCCAGCTATGTCCCCTGCTCAGAACTTTTGCATCAGATGTGCCCTTCCTCTGGGACACATCCCAGTTATCTGCACTGCTCTCTCCTCCAGTTCTTGGTCTACACACCTGCAGTCCCTACGTGCCCTGTCTTGCATTGTCTTTCTCCATAGCATTTCTCTTTTCTCTAAGATGTTTTATAATTTACTTTCTTGCTATGTTTTCTTGCCTGACTTCCCTCACTAGAATAGAAGCCCCACCTAAGGAGGGATTTATCTGTTTTGTTAACCAATGAATAAGCTGCACCTAGGACAGTGCCTGGCACATAGTAGTGAGTCAGTAATGAGTTTTAGGATGAGTGAATGGAAGACTGAATGAGGCAGGGTGCGGTGGCTCACGCCTTTAATCCCAGTACTTTGGGAGGCTGATGCGGGCAGATCACCTGAGGTCAGGAGTTCAAGAACAGCCTGGCCAACGTGGTGAAACCCCGTCTCTACTAAAAATTAAAAAATTAGCCAGGACTGGTGGTGCACACCTGTAATCTTAGCTACTCAGGAAGCTGAGGCATGAGAGTCGCTTGAAGCCGGGAGGCAGAGGTTGCAGTGAGCCGAGATCGTGCCACTGTACTCCAGCCTGGGTGACAGAGTGAGACTCCAACTCAAAAAAAAAAAAAAAAAGAAAAAGACTGAATGGGGTAAGGATGAAGCATTGTGTAAAGTTTAAAAGCACAGGCTTTGTAGTCACAATGCCTGGGGTCAAATCTAGCATGGTACTTACTAGCTGTGTGGCCTTGGCTAATCCATTTCACCTTTTTGTACTTAAGTTTTCTCAGGAAAACAGGGCCTGCCGGGAACCCTCATAATCGCTAGTGGGCTGTAAATGGTACAGCCACTTTGGGAAACAGTCTGGCACTTTCTTAAAAAGTGAATCACATACTTCCCACACAGCCTAGCAATTCTGCTCCTAGAAATCTGCCCCATAGAAATGAAAACATGCTCCCACACAAAGGCCTGTTGCAGGGCGCGGTGCCTCAGGCCTATAATCCCAGAACTTTGGGAGGCCAAGGCAGGTGGATCACCAGCGGTCAGAAGTTCGAGACCAGCCTGGCCAACATGGTGAAAACCCATCTCTACTAAAAATACAAAAATTATCTGGGCGTGGTGGTGTGCCCCTGTAATCCCAGCTACTCGGGAGGCTGAGGTGGGAGAATTGCTTGAACTTCAGGGGCAGAGGCTGCAGTGAGATCCCGTCAAAAAAAAAAAAAAAAAAGACTTCCACGTGCATGTTCACAACAGCGTTACTTAAACAGCCAAAGAGTAGAAGCAACCCAAACACCCATCAACGGATGAGAGGATAAATAATATGTGGTGTATCCATACAACGGAATATTATTCAGTCATAAAAAAGGAATGAAGAGTGTGGTGCAATGATGCACGCCTTTGATCCCAGCAGTTTGGGAGATCAAGGTGGGAGGATTGCTTGAGCCTAGGAGTTGAAGATCAGCTTGGGCAACATAGTGAGACCCCATCTCTACAAGAAATAAAAATATTAGCCAGGTGTGGTGGTGCACCCTGTGGTCCCAGCTACTCAGGAAACTGGGGAAGGGGGTGGATCACTTGAGGTTGAGGCTGCGATGAGCCATGATAGTGCCACTGGACTCTAGCCTGGGCAACAGAGTAAGACCTTGTCCCAACAACAGCAACAACAACTAAAAAGCAATTAAATACTGAACTGATACAATTTACAATGTGAATGGACCTTGAAGACATTATGCTAAGAGGACGAAGGCAGTCACCAAAGCTACATATGGCATATTCCATTTATAGGAAATGAAATGTCTAGAATAGGTTCATCCATAGAGACAAAATAGATTTGTGGTTGCCCAGAGCTGAGGGTGGGAATGGAAAACAACTATTAACAGGCACAGGATGTCTTTTTGGGGTGATCGAAATATTCTTTTTAAAAATTTTAATTCATCAATTTATTCATTATTATTATTATTATTTTTAGAGACAGGATCTTGTTCTGCGGCCTTGGCTGGAGTTCAGTGGTGTGATCATAGCTCACTGCCACCTTCAACTCCTGGGCTCAATCCTCCCACCTCAGTCTCCCAAGTAGCTGGGATTACAGGCACTCGCCACCAGGCCCAGTTTATTTTCATTCAGTTTTGTAGCGATGAGGTCTTGCTTTGTTGTCCAGGCTGGTCTCAAACTCTTGGCTTCAAGTGATCCTGCCGCCTCAGCTTCCCAAAGTGCAGGGATTACAGACCTGAGCCACCACACCCAGCCTGGAAATATCCTAAAATTGGATTGCAGTGATAGTTACACAACTCTGTACATTTATTAAAAATTATCAACCCGGAGCAGTGGCTCATGCCTGTAATCCCAGCACTTTGGGAGGCCGAGGTGGGTGGATCATGAGGTCGGGAGTTCAAGACCAGCCCGGCCAACATAGTGAAACCCCTACTTTAGTTCCTACTAAAAATAAATTTTAAAAAATTAGCCAGGCATGGTGGGGGGTGCCGGTAATCCCAGCTACTTGGGCGGCTGAGGCAGAGAATTGCTTGAACCAGGGAGGCGGAGGTTGCAGTGAGCCGAGATCACGCCACTGCACTTCATCCTGAGCAACAGAGCGAGGCTGTCTCCAAAAAAAAAAAAAATTATCGAATTGTATGACCAAATGGATGAAGTCTATTACATGTAAATGGTACCTCAATAAAGTTGTTCATGAAAAGCCAAAACAGAAAACAAATCCAATAATAGTATCTATTGTATGCAACTGTTGTGAGGATTAAATGGGCTAATCTATGTAGTACTCTTGAAACAGACATAGGGTGAATACTCAAGAAGTGGATTCCTATTTTTTTTTTTTTTTTTGAGACGGAGTCTCGCTCTGTGGCCCAGGCTGGAGTACAGTGGTGCGATCTTGGCTCACTGCAAGCTCCGCCTCCCAGGTTCACGCCATTCTCCCGCCTCAGCCTCCTGAGTAGCTGGGACTACAGGCGCCCACTACCATGCCCGGCTAATTTTTTGTGTTTTTAGTTGAGACTGGGTTTCACTGTGTTAGCCAGGATGGTCTCCATCTCCTGATTTCGTGATCTGCCCGCCTCGGCCTCCCAAAGTGCTGGGATTACAGGCGTGAGCCACTGCGCCCGGCCAGTGGGTTCCTGTTATTAACAAATGTGGTTGCGATCACACGTGTAAAGTGTTCAGCAAATGAAAGACAAATGACAGGTCGTGTTCCCTACATAACCACAACTCCTTCAATAATCACCGTCTTTTGGTGACTTTATCATTCTCTGCGTCTGTCCCACGCATCTGGCCTCAGTTTTTCCACTTGCGCAATGAAAAACGTGGGCTCTAAGGCCGTCTTCTCTTTGTCAACTATTTTGTTCTGAAAAGGTTTATCTCTGAGGCAGCAGATCTGCAATGGGAAAGGTGGGCAAACCCATAGGGCAGACAGAGGTGGGGCCCGTGGTTCCTGGAGACCAACATGTGTGTAGGAAGCGGCTTGAAAGTGGGCTGTGTGGTGGGAGCTGACGGGGAGGGTAAGATGGGCCTGGATAAG